TCTCTCTCTCTCTCTCTCTCTCTCTCTCTCTCTCTCTCTCTCTCTCTCTCTCCGTGCGCGAAGGCGCTTCGGACAGCCAAGAAAGTGGCGCTTCTGACAGCCAAGAATGTGGTGCACCAAGAAAGTGGAAAAATAAGAAAGCCACTCACCAAGGTCTCGCTGCACTACCGTGGTCACCGAGACAGAAAAGAAAAGGGGTTGTATTTGTCCACTTTCTAGTGGAAGATTCATTCACATTTTGCACATTTGCTGAGGAGTGGAGCAGGGGCCCGAGTAGGGGAAAGGAATGAAACTCAACCCAGAAGATGAAAGGTACGTCGCTACTTTACTTTTACCTTTTTGCCAAGGCTCTGAGGCCCCCAGACGTGGTCCAGAACTGAGCCTACTCAGCCTGGACCCGACCCCCTTGTGCAGGCAAAGTTGGTCTCGTTCACTCGAACATAACGCATATGCGTTGTAAACGAATACAACGCACGGTATGCGTTATGTACGGGGGAATCGTTTACAACGCATATGCGTTATGTTTGGGGGAAGACGGTAGCACTACACCTAGCGCTACTGCCTGGAGCTGCAAGTCTCTCCTGAACAGACCGCTGGCCGGTACTAAGTACCGGCGGTGGCCTGTTCGGCCTGGCTGCTGAGAACCCGTGCCGTGATCTGGACCGTAGATCGATCTGACGGTTCAGATCAGACCTGCGGGGAAGTAGCAGCCTCAATCTTCGGCCGCCAGGCTCAAACGAAAAATTGTTTGAGCCGGTTTCCCGCTCAGGGCCTGCAGTTGCAGACCCGGGTCTAAAACCGGTTGCTGGGGGCCTACCGTCGGCCTTTCCAAAGGTCCGGCCTTGAACCCAGGCCGGACTGGCCCAGCGTGGCCACGGTCTGGGATAACCCCCTAGAGCTAGCCGTCGGGCCTAACAGGGCCCGTGTGGAATCCGGTATGTAACATCATTGTCTGCCACTGAGGATGCTTTACTACTGCGTGATGCTCGCGTATTGTGTTGTGTATTGCAGTGCACCAGAGCATACAATTCACGTACTATGCAGGAAAGACCACTGTTCTGTGTACTACTCTGTAGTACAGTGTGTATTGCAGTGATCCAGAGTACTCTGTGGTATACATCTTACAATTGGCACTATGTGGTATACATCACTGTTCTGTGTATTACTATGTAGTAGAGTTTGTATCACAGTGATCCAGAGTGCATAATTCACGTACTAT